ACTTAGCAAGGACAAAACCTAAAGTCCTAATATTTAATGGTTAGGGATAGAGAGGATAGAGCTGTAGTTTTGCTGACATCTTTGTGTGGGTCTATCAGTTATGTTCAGGCACTCTGATTAGTGCTAAGTGCAAAGCCTTTGCGGTTCAATTTTAATGCAAGCGGTAGGAGCAGCAAGATTTGCTAGCCTCTCTATAAACTGTATCTAATTAAAAGGTTTGCTTTGATTTTAGTTCAGAAAGAGCAAATTTAAAATTATGCTAACAACTGCAGTTAGTTAAGATGTTGAGCTATACCTAGTGTCTTTGTTTAGGTTTTTAAAGGTTAAGCCCAGGACGGGTAACTATAAAGTTGCCTTTGTAAATCTACTTAAAATATGGTTCTAGATAGCATTCTGTTTTATAGGACACAGTTTGGAGCAGATAATAAAAATAAACAAAGAGTAACTCAGATATGCTGGCCCTCAAGCTTGTCAGAGATCTGATGAATATGGCATTTTAACATCTGTAAGCTTATTGTGACAAAAAGTCCTGAAATCCTGGCAGTAGCTCCCCCAAGGTCTCCGAGAAGATTTGGGCATAACAGCAGATGACTGCGACTCTGGATTGTGGTATGCTAACCACTGGGCAATACTGCCTCAACTGGCCCACTGCTAGGGCCCAGCCTAAACTGTGGACAAAACTGTGGACACCTGGAGAGTCAATATTTCACATTGCTAAGGGTGAGGTAAGGCCATACTCTGTTTCTTTCTCCACAGAAACAGTCTCTCATCTTCTGTGCCTAGCTGGACCATCTTTGCCCATGATGTTATGAGACCACAGGAGCCAGGGACACTACCTAGGTGATGGACTAACTAGTCATCTCTATCATTTTGATTGGCACATGGATTGGTATATTTATTTAGCTCATAATTTATCCTTCTCAGGTCTATGCTAAGCTAATGGTAGATTTGCAGCTAAAGAGCATACAATTAGATCCAATGTTAGCTCATTGATCAGTTTAAGATATATAGCCAGATAAAAAATATAGAGCTTATGTAGGGTCTGAGGCTAAAAGGAGTTTAGGTTGTAAAAATGCAAGTTATAAAGGTTACAAGGTTAATATTTCTTCTTGTTGTTATGCTACTGTTGTATTGACTGTCCAGAGTTTTGACCTTATCAATATAGCTCTAATTTATTAATCTAACTCTGATACAAAAACATTCCATTATACCACTATTCCACTATTATGGTCCTAAGCTCAAGATTGTAAGCCTCTATAATGTGTATGCTTATACTAAAAGTTAAGATCAAGTGAGTTTCCCTCTTACTTCATAAAAGGCTTTTGCCTTTTCAGAGTTCACCTTAAAAAATACTTATGCTACTAACACAAATATGTATGTCTACTGCCTTTTTCTCAATGCAGAATACAATTGTGATACTAACATGTCTAAAGTTTTATCTCCTTCTTAAAACTTAAAAGTAACTCTTGTAAGCTGCAGAAAGTCCACCTAAATCCACCTCTCAGGTCAATTGGACTCCAGATAAGTACTGCACTTATTGCCTATCTCAAAAGGTGGGACTCCTCCCTTTTCCCTGGTTTTGGGACTTCCTTTCCTGGCTACCAGACTCCTATTTACTGCATGCAACACAGGCTGGATTGGTGAGTTCTCCTTATTGACCAGCCACTAGATTGGTGAGTTCACCCCATTTTCTCAGCATAAACACCTCTCTTGGTAGGGGAAGCAACTTCCCACTATCTTTTGAGACGGAGGGACCCCCCCCCCCAGCCGTAGCCTTAACTGTCTAGGTTTGACCCTCTATGCTGACCTCCATTTTAGGGCCTCACTCTCCCTTGGGCAGTACACCCCCTCTCTACGGTTCCTTCCCCCCCTCGCTCGCTCACTCGCTCATGGGAAGGTACCCTCTTGCACACGGTTCCTCCTCCTCCTCCTCTCTCTCTCGTGGGAAGACCTAGCGCTAGGCAGCCCTGTGCTCTCGGCCGTACCAATGGGCACCATGCCCCAGTCCCTGGACAAAAGCTGATGAGCTATTGAACCAGGCAGGACCCCTCTCTCTCAGAGTCACACCTTCCCTTGGGACGCCACTGGAAGGTCTTGACTTCTCTGCCCCCAATGGGAGATGTCCAGACGCCCGTCCTTCCAGATAGGATCCCCTCTGGAGAATTTCAGGTTTCTACACCTAGTGCCAGCTGGCACCAGGGCCTCTAAGTTTACACGCTTCTGTAACCAGACTTCACCTCAATGACAGATCAAAAACAAAGCCTTCCTTAAATATTGCCAATGATTTGGTAAATAAAGGTCCCTCCAGGTAGGCAGAGGTTCCCATGTACAAGCCTTATCGATCCAAACCTTTCAATGTATACCTGCAGTATTTTCTCCATACTCAACTTTATCTTTTGCCTATATATGTGTTTCAGTGTCCTGCCAGACACAGATGTTTCCTATAGCCACAACAGCGCCAAACAGCTACAGGTGTTCAACTCTGACCTCATAGACTTCCAACAAGCTGGACCTGCACCTTCCCTCCCAGCCATGGATATTCTTGTAGACCCTGGAAAGCATCAAAGCAGCCTATTCTTCCTGGACTTGGCCAACATTTCAGCCTTTTGACCTCCCTACAGCGCCCCCAAGTGTCAGCAGGAAGTAGCCAGAAGAGAATCTACGCCCATTATTCACTTGTTAACAAAAGGCTGAAGTGGTGTGCTTCAGGATCAGGACAAGCAGCTCCAGGTTCTCCCAGCGTTCTCCAGTCCCTACCTGCTGCCTTGCATGGCTGGCAACTCTCTCTGTTGACAACCCTCTACCCTAAATTTTCCAGGGCAGAGGCTTCCCTTACTCTTGACCTTGCAATCTGACTATTTTGTTGCTATAATTCTTCTTTCTTTCAACCTCTTGCATGACAACCAAGAGCTGCTTCCTAAATTTATATACTTTAACTTACCTTATAAAAAGCAGCCCAAGCTCCCCATTTTTAATTATAGAAAAAGGGAGGAATGTTAGTATTTTGGAACACAACCTGCTCCTGTGTTACCCAGCAACCTATGACATCATCATGTGTCGCCAGGCAGGTGGCCACACCTGGAAGGTGTGGTTACCTTCCCCCTTAAAGGCTGTGGCCGACACATGGTCCCTCTCTTATTTTCTCTCTCTTACTCTCTTTACACTCTTCTCTTTCTTCTCTTTCTCTCTCTCTCTCTCTCGGGGTGCCCCCTTCCCCCATCCTCCCTTTCCATCTCTCTTTCCCCACCATGCCTTGCTACCCACTTCCTCTGTACCCTTCTAATAAACCTCTTGCAGAGAATATCGGTTGTCCCCCTGCTTCTTCTTCTTTTTAATTAATAACATGCACTACCTATCTTCAAAACCATTCCTTGAAGGCATGGCAGTCAAAGGGGCCTGGTGCTGACATCAAAGCAGACACATGGACCAATGACGTGAAATAGAAAGCCAAGAAATAAAGGTACATATTTATGGCAGGATCAGTTTTTAACAAAATTGTCAAGGACGGAAAATGGAAAAAGGACAATAAATAGAACTGGAACCAATGTATATCAACTTACAGATGAAAACAGAATTGTGCCATTCTTTCAGATAATATATAAAAGTATATTATTCAAAAGTAATTGAAGACTTGAAACTATAAAACTATGAGAAAGAAACACTGTAGGAGCCAGGAGTGGTGGTGCATGCCTTCAATCCCAGTACTTGGGAGACCGAAGTAGGTAAATCTCTGAGTTTAATGCCAGCCTGATCTACAGAGCAAGTTCTAGGATAGTCAGAGCTACACAGAGAAACCCTTTCTCTAAAAACAAACAAACAAACAAACAAACAACAACAACAACCAAAAGCACTGTAAAAACTACCATGACTTTGGTCTGGACAATGATTTTTTTTATATGACTAAAAAATAAAATTTTAAGCACTAAAAGCAAAAGAAGAATGAAATTACTTGAAACCACAAATAGTCTACAGAGTCAAGGAAACAGTCAGTGGAATGAAGAAACAACCTGTGCAATGGGAAAAATGTAAACCACACATTCGATAGGGGATTATTATTAGAAACACATCAGAAACGGAACTCAGTACCAAGTTGATTAAATTTGAGCAAAGAACTGAAATAGATATTTTTCAAAAAGGACCTAAAAAGAGCCAACACACACACACACACACACACACACACACACACACTTTTAACATCACTAATCATCAAAGGAATGAGGTTCAAAACATAGTGAAATGTTACCTTCTACCCACTCTTGAAGGAAAGATGAGAAAGAAGTGTTGGTGAGAGGTAGAAATTTGAATTAGTGCAGCCACTGTAGAAAATGGCATACAGGTGCCTCACCATATTTCTCAGCACTCTGGCTGCTAGGCACATGTTAGAAAGAGACTGAGTGAGTACCTATCTACAGTTGAGTGGTTATTACAATATTATTCACCACAGATAAGATAGAGACAATACCAGTGTTCAGCAGCACTAAATGGATAAGGCTGTGTGGTCTGTATGCACAATATAATGCTATTTTCTTGAAAAGAAGGAAGTACTGTTATTTTTAACAATACGGATGAACCTGAAAAATGTAATGTCGAGTGAAATAAGTAAGTCACAGACAAATGGCACACGATGTCATGTACATGTGGGATATAAAAAAGTTGAATTCGTTAAGTAGAGAACAGAATGAGTGTTATCAGAGTCTAGGGGTAAAGGTATGTTTTTTAGAAAGATAGTGGCTGAAAGATCCAATTGGAATAATTTCAAGAGATCCATCATAAATACGATGATTATAATTAACAGCAATGAGTTGCATTCTTGAAAACTGCTACTATGATAGAATTTAAGCATTCTCACTACCAAAAAATGAACCATATGAGTTATATATATAACTTAGCTTCATTTAATCATTCTATAATGCATCCATTTCAAAACACCATGCTGTACCCGATAAATGCATGCAGTTTTATTTATTAGTGCCTAAATAAATAAATTTTGAGAGCCCTACCTGGGAGCAATATCCAAGGCATTGATAAGTTGTCCACAGTAGGAAAAGCTGAGTGTCGAGTTGGCAAGTGTCAGGAAAATGACGGTGCTGTAGAAGTTGAAGCTCAAGTAGAGCAGGCACATGGTGAAGATCACAGGACAGAGGGTCCCTGCGGAGAGATCCATACTGTACAGTTAGCTGCTTCTGAGCACGGGGCGGAAGGATTCCCCAAGCGTTTGTCTGTCCTGGCTGTTCCTTACCTAATGTGGTGAAGAGTTTCCGGACGGTAACTACGCTGAAAATCTTCCTGCACAGGAAGAAGTCTGACATCTGACCTGCTACGATACCACAGATGTAGGCAAGCAGATAAGGGAGGCTGGACAGCAGCCCATTCTGAGGAGGAAACATTATTCTGAGTGTATATGATGGAGAAACAGTCCTGCACAGTCAGTGCTTTCACGGAAATTCGGTAACTAACGTGTACTCCGGACGTGAGGGTGTGAATCTGAGGTAGACTTCTTGTTGGGCGTGCACAAAGTGCTGCATTCAAACCCCAGTCTCACTTAACGAATGAATGAATGAATTTAACACAGGAAACCATCCAGGCACATGTAGCACCATAACTGTGTCTGGGACCATGCATTCCAATGTGAAGAGAAACAGTTTTTAGGTTAGTAAAAATTGTCATCATTCCCCTATAGATTTTTGTTTTTAGTATCATGAGACCTAGAAAACTGCAAGAGAAGACAGCTGAGAACAGGAGTGTCAGCCCTGAAAAAATGATAGAGATAATATTGATAATTGATGACGGACAATTGCATGCAGAGATGATAATGATAATTGATGACGGACAATTGTGTGCTTGCTCTAACTGGCCGTGGTAAACTCTAGGGATGACTCCATGGTTTCATTATGATGAAGTTGAATCAGTGAGACCACAGCATGATGCTGGCCACTAGCTTGAGGAAGAACATACACCACAGAAAGTTCCAAAGTTGGAAGCCCAGACTTATTTTAGTCTTTTCTGGTTACTTTGATATCAAATGATGAGAAGTTCCAAGCATAACTGATTCTCAATATTAGATGAGCAATGGGTATTCTTGCAGAGTAAGACCAAAAGTCCAGGAGTTGTGGCTTTATTCCAAAACAGTGGATTGACAAGAGCTGGACACGGTGGCAGGAGCTGGCTCAGGAACTTTCAGATTAGAATGCCTTTCCCTAAAGGGAATGGTACTGTCAAGCTATTTCCTTCTTTCTTTCTTTCTTTCTTTCTTTCTTTCTTTCTTTCTTTCTTTC